GATAGATAGATAGATAGATAGATAGATAGATAGATAGATAGATAGATAGATAGATAGTGTTTTTAATTATACAAAAAATAAAAAAAGAAGAAGAATGCACACATTTGAAAAAGACAGTATGTATGTTATGAATCATCTGTAAAACTACACTGTTTTCTATCCTTGCTTCCCATCAGTCCTCTCCATGAGTTCGTTCTGGCTTTGACTTCAATATTTGTTCTGGAAGTGATTTCTAGAAATCCTCATTTTAAATGTTAACAGCTGAGATATTTATCTCTCAGCCTTTTGTGAAACGTGCTACGTCTGACTCACTGGCTGCTCCATGCTGGCAGAAGTGCAGTCTGCCTGTCAGCACCATCAAACATCCATGTTCAGCGCACCAGCCTCAACACGGCTGAGGACCAGCGGCTGGAATGGGAATGCTGTCCATGTCCAGTCTATATCTATGCTGCGCTCTGTTCCTCTCACAGACCTGTCCATCAAAAGAACTGCTACTGGACGTGGAGCCACATTACTGACTCTGTTACCATGCCGACCATGTAATTGCTTGTGTGTACGAGCAGCTCATGTAAGTATATATTTATGCGTTTCTGCAGGTGTGGCAGAGCAGTTTGCCATCGCTGAGGCTAAGCTGAGGGCCTGGTCCTCCGTGGACGGAGATGAGTCCAACGATGACTCATATGATGAAGATTTTCTGCCTGCTACTGAGCCCAGCACACAGAGCACAGGTACACACACACGCGCGCACTTGAGAGAGAAAGAACAGCTAAATCACATGTATTGATTTATTCGCCATTCTTCTCTTTCTTCCTCCCATCTCTCTATCCTTCTCTTTTTGTCTTTCTTTGTCCCAGTGCCCTAGTTTTCTACCTCCGCTGACATTTTTTTGTTCCTCTGTGCGATTTGATATCCCTCCTGCAAGTTTAATATAATTTCCTTTGCTGCAGAGACGGTGTCTGTGTGAAGACGGTGTGTTAGTGTGGCTATAAATGCACAGAGCGGTGTGTGTGTGTGTGTGTGTGTGTGAGAGAGAGAGCGAGAGAGAGAGAGAGTGTGAGTGTCCAGCAGCTCTCGTCTTGATTACATGCACCCACGAGTATCTTGGTTATGGCAGCTAACATTCAGATATTCACTGTGGCAGAAACTCCTCAGTGAACTAACAACAACATATTTCAACAGAATCGTTTATGATCTGGGTCAGTGATCACTCAGGTCGTTTTTTAACAGAATTAAAGATTTTCCTTTCATATATTTTATTACTTTTAGCAGAAATGTAATTCATATAATTCAGTTTTGTTGCATGCATTCCTGATGTTTGTTTTAGGAAATCAATTTTTGTGGTATACATTCTGTAGGTTTTCTTGTCACTACTTCTACTTGTATGTGTTTTAGCACTTTTTGTATGCGTTGCGCAGCACGGTGGTTCAACTGGTAGAGCTGCTGCCTCTCAGCGAGCAGGTCCTTGGTTCAAACCCCGGTCCAGGGGCCTTTCTGGGTGGAGTTTGCATGTTCTCTCCGTGCATGCGTGGGTTTTCTCCGGGTACTCCGGTTTCCTCCCACAGTCCAAAAACATGAATGTTAGGCTGATTGGTAACTCTAAATTGTCCCTAGGTGTGAGTGAGAGAGTGAATGTTTGTTTGTCTCGTTTGTCTCTATGTGGCCCTGTGATGGACTTGCGACCCGTCCAGGGTGTACCCCGCCCCTCGCACAGTGATTGCTGGACATGGGCACCAGCGACCCCTGTGACCCAAAATGGAATAAGCGGGTAAAGAAAATGGATGGATGGATGGATGGATGCGTTGCATTTACAAGTTACCTCTTTAGAAGCAAATCTGTGGACTGTGTTCCATTTAGAAATGCAAATATTTTAGTGTCTTTTACTAAAACTGACCTTTTTCTTTTATTTTTTAGCTGTAAAAATGTAAATTTTGACTGTCTGAAATAAATAAGTTGAAATTCTCATTAAAAAATGTGTTTTTAACTGTTATTTCCAAAAAACACCATATTTTATTTCTCCCAGACAAATAATTAATAAATATGTATTTTTTATTAATTATTTTATGATGAACAGAAAATTAAATCAAATCACATTTATATAAGTGTATAACACTCATTAGTAGGTTTAAGATAAAAACAAACAAAATGCTGTTTAAGCTGCTGAAATACGCTGGAAGTGATGACACGAGACAAGAATTAGTACAAGATGCCTGTACTGTTTAGATGTCAAGCCACATATTGTGAACTCCTTGTGCCTGCTCTACAGTGGGTCATCAGTTGAATCTGCCATATGTCCCATAGGTAGTAGCCTTTACTGCTGTGTTTCAAGCCAACCTGGGATCAAAACGTTTCTCACTTAAACGTTTCTCACAATTTAACCTTTTTTGTTGTTATGTACTTTGTACCTGGATGATTGAGCTTACAACCCCTTTTCTATATAAAGTAGTTTTATCCTCATAATTCGAGACATGGCTGTTATGGATGTTTTGTTCAAAGTTTATGGACGTTTTTAACTACTATGGCTGAGAATGTTAACTCTGCCCATGAATCTTATGTTTGGGTTAGTAGAAAGCTGGATGAGGAGCTGGGTGACACTGCAGCTGTTGCTTCAAGGACGCCTCTGAGTCTGTGAGCTCGGCTGAACTGATAAACGTATAAAAACAAGATGCACAGAGAGCTCATGGAAGATTCTTGTAACTGGGCTCCATGCATGTACTTCCTGTATATCTGTGTAACCTGTCCTGAAAATCTGTTCTTGCAAGTGAAATACCGGTTAAAAATCTTCTCCTGTCTTCGAGTGTGGTTCCTTTTGAGTATGTGAGATAAAGCGAGAACATTTTTCTCCAATTGTAGACATCTTTTGATTTATGAGCAAGTTATCTGACAACAAAGATTGGTACACACAATGTGCAAGTTAGACAAAAGCTTATTTGGTCATATAATAATCACCTGTGGAATATATCCAAAAAAGTTCAATCTGGTCCTCTGGACATTCAAAAAAACAAAAAACAAAACAAAGCAAAAAAATCTAGAAACGTTTCGTCTCTCATCCAAGAGACTTCCTCAGTCTGAGGTGCTGTTTTCAGCTCAGTCTCTTAAATAGCACCTTCTCAGAGTGGATCAACCAGTTTGCTGCTGACAACCAAAACCAGCTGATCACATGCTCAAGAAGGACCATCAGCCTAACAATGGATCATTAGCACACTGATGGCTGTTTACTATTCACAGAGGGCTGAGTGATACTAGCAATCACAGCATTGTAAGAGGGGGACAGTTGAACCCGGAGGCCTCCACCCCTGTTTAATGATGGACGATTTCTTTTCACAAAGATGGCCTCCTTTACTCCTCTCTCAAACCATCGTTCCTCTCTGTCCAGGATGTGAACATCTTCATCCTTGAAAGAGTGACCGCTGGCCTGGAGATGAGTGTAGAATATAATGCCACCATTTTCAAGTTCAGGTTTTCAATTATCTCAAGAAGTTATTACACAACATTGGCCTTCTTAGCTTAGTTATTTTTCCCTAAAATATTTGTGGTCTGTTGTCATACTGACAGTAACTATGGATGCCATCTAGCACGTATCAAGTTGGCGACACAAATTCTTGGCTCCACTATCGTAGACTGCGTGTGTTTTGTCATTACAGCACATTTCTATTTTAAATATTCTCCTTTCATTTTAAAAGTTTATACTGTGTGCTTTTAGTAAACAAAACTCCATATGAGCTTGTCCTGCAGCATCAATTGATATACATTTTTAATTCTTCTCAGTTTTCTTCTCTAAATGTTTTTGTTTATACTTCAGGACCTCATGCTCAGTTTGTTTTATCCCCTCCAGATGTGACATCTTCTTATCCACCGTACTTGAAGGACCTGATTCACAGCCAGCTTTGCCAACACCTGGGTCTGTGGAGGCCCTGTTCTGAGAATGGGGGAGGGATTGGAGAGGTAGGTGGCAGCAGAGAGCCCTCCCCCACCACAGGCTCCTCCCCAGACACACTGTGCTCCAGTCTGTGCAGTCTGGACGAGCAGCATCCGCTGCTGCGCGACTTGGGCAGCCACCACTGCAGCCACTCCCAAAGCAACGCTGCCGAGCTCGCTGCCAAGATCCTGTCTGCGCTGCATGGTGGAGAGGAGCTGCTGGCTCGACTTCAGAGGGTGGGGCAGAGTGGGCCTGGTGGGAGGGACTTTGGCTTCCACAGCCTGGGTGGGGTGGGTCGAAGCAGCAGGTCCTTTGGGGGTCAGGACTCTCCCTGCTACTCCACTTCTTACTCTGAGACATACCTGTCACCTGGGGAGGATGATGACACTTCCTGCAAGGACTATGAGAACACTGTGGGTCAGGAGGAGACAGAGGGCAACAGGGGGGAGTACCCACTTGACTACAACCCCCGCAGGAGGGTGTCCGATGTGGCCTCCTCAGGGGTGGTCTCACTGGATGAGGAGGATGAAGAGGAGGAGATGGATGGGAGAGCAGGCAAGCCCAACAACCAATGACTCCTGGACTCCCTCCATAGTATTGAAGCACTTCAACCAATTAAGGTGGGGGGATCTTCTGTTTTATAGCAACAACCCCCGCCATTCTCCATGGTGAAGGACAGTTTAAAGCTGTATTCTGATGTTTGTCTCCCTCTACCCCTCTGACTGATGTACAAATCATCCTTCTTTGCCTTACTTGCATCCGTTCAGTTCCTCTTTCCATTCCGTAAGTGCTCTGTCCCCCCCCCCCCCCCCCCCAATCAACTCTATTTGTTTTGAAGGCGTCCAAACAATCTTTTTCATCAGTGTGCAAACAGAGAGGGCTGAACTTGGCTCTGATTCATGGGTATGATGCCCAAGGTTTTCGGCTCTGCTCCACCTGCTCAGCAAACAGAAGGACTGCGAGTCCAGGACTCTGACTCGACAGTAAACCTGCATGTATTCTGCAAGTGCTAAAATCAATGGGCTGACCTGGTCTCAAGAACGATTTGTAATCTCAGCTGTGCTGTGTCACCCCTGCCCATCTCCCTACCTTCTCCCATCCGAGGGCAGGTTGACACTGCATCCTTGCACCTGCTCTCAGACTCTACCCATCCTTTGCAAGAGACTAAAAAGTATCCTTTTGGGCATGGCTTGCAGAATATGCCAAACTATTTAACCCTGTCACTACCATTTATAAGTGAATGCTGGAATGTCTTCAAAGTGACAGGAAATGGTACATATTTTAACATAAAGTAAAAAAAGGTTTGTCACCTCTGGTATAACAGGAATGGTATGCTTTTATTCTACTAGTTTTCTATCAGTCAAACCTGTTGTTGTTCACAATGTTCTTATCAGCATTATGACCCGAAGACATTAACTGGACATTGTCTGACATTCTGTGGATTCCTGCATGGAAGACACCAGAACTTTGGTGGTCTTAAAACCAACAACAACAGAAACACACAACAGCATAAACAGAGATGATAAAAAACTCAAACAGAACGTTCCTGAAATGGCGCTTCAATGATGGATGTTTAGCAAGAAGAAGCAATTTTTTTCCTGTGAAGAGATAAGTTTCATTGGAGATTTTTCTATATTTTTGTATGCACCGTCTTGCTTGATCTCTTTGCCTTTGCGGCGTGCCAGTGTATGTGTTTTTTTGCACGAAGCTAACGTGGCTGTAGATTTCTCCTGTTCTTCGTTATCACTGTGTGATATAGTCTACTGGGAAAAAATACTACAAATGTGAACAAAAAAGGTTTTTTTCTTATTTTTATTCAAAAGAGGATACTGTGATATGTTATTGTTTACCATTTGTCATAGTCCTCATGAAGAATAATTTTTGTTTCCTTAATTTTTGGATTTATTCTTCTCATACTGACTTTTAAAAAACTTTGCCTTTTATTCTGTATTTTCCCTTTTTATGATGCTTGAAAAATGTTTCTGTGTCAGAATCTACCATCTCCATGGTGACATCAGGAGCGCCGTGCAGGTGCTCTCTGAGGGAGCCGTCATTCATACAACTCAGGAAAAATCCCATTGGAGCAGAGCATGGATGCTTTCGGCCCACATGCACAACACCACTCCTTTGTGTCCATCCTCCACGTGTGCGTGTGCCTGGGATTTAGCGTGAGACAACGTCTGGTGTGCCGTTATTTTCAACAAGTAATTCAAGCACAGACTCAGTCCCCACGTCTATAAGCTTTATTTTATTTTATTTTTTTTAATGAAACTCAACAAAGTTTGTATTTGACATTTTCTGAAACTGTACGATTGTGAACTGTAAGATGTCAGCAAGCACCTAAAGCTTGCGCTGTATATTCATTCCAAAACCCCTCTGATGCAGCGATTCCCTTTAAAACAGAGTGTGGGGTAGCTGTTTTACTGCTTCTGGAGATAAAGGAGTCATAAGCAAAAACAAGGATGGCATGACTGACTTATGTTTACTTTCAACCTGCTGTAAGTGCTCCGACAGGTAGTCCATGGGAAAAAATCATCCTAACTGTGTTTGAGATTTGAAGTAGAAGGTAGAAGGTGGTGGATTGGCCGTGGAGACTTTTGATCCTGCACATGCAAATTCTACAAGTCTTGTGACAAATAAACATCGTTATGTACAGACCCTGCACTTCTTTAGCCAAGTCAGGAGCAAGACTGATAGAGGCTTTACAATTTGGGTGTCTCAAAAGTACTCCACGCTCCTCTGCCGTTTCAAGCAGTTTTCTCCCTGGAGGTGCCACTGGTTTTCCTTTTGCTCCTTTCTTCCCGAGTACCGTTTTCCAACATTCTAACTGGAACTGTTTACAAAAAATAAATACAACGTTCATTGTAATAATGACGGATGAGATGGTGCAGTCACCTCTGCTTATACCCATTGCTGAACATCAGGAGGGATCGTGACATTTGACACAAATGCAGGCTGAACTCTTGGCAGGCACAATGGGTTAATCATGTGTGACATCACTGTACCACTGTTCCACAGGCAGACTGCAGTTTTTCTCATCCTTTGAGCAAGTCACCTATGCTGGCTGCACTGAAACAAGTGCTTTGTCCCAAACATTTCATTGGTGATCTCCAGGACCCTGTGATCAAGCACTTACGGTGGGTTGTGAGCGACTTACTTTAAGGACAGTTGCATAAGACAGTAAAAAACTCAGGGGGAACCATTGAAGCTGTGCCTTTCATACATCACCTTTGACCTCTCAAACTGTATCATCATCATCATATTGCCTCTTTGGTGCTGCTCAAACTGTAGATTGGCTCCACCATTGCAACCACCTTTCTATGAGGAAGAGCACAGTTTGACAAGCATCAGATGTCCTGTTGCATCTCCTGCGCGTTTGCTTCTGCAGCAGCTTTGGTTGCAGCATGGTAATTTACGTCACTGTCCTTGCGGCTGACATTAAAAGCCTGGCGATGCCGACGAGGCGAGGTTGTGCTTTTGTTTAGACGTAGTGACGCGAGTGTGCCATTGTTCCACACCCTTCCTTTTCCTCTATTCATCAGCTCACTTTGTACGGCACTGTGCATGCATTTTCTCTGTCTGAATGTACTCATCTTCTCCCCCAGGGTTTTTTTTTTAACCTAGCAGTCTTGTTACATTAGTATTTTTTATTATACTTCTGAGAATCATGACATTAGTCAGTATGAGAACATTTTGTCCTCATAAGAATAGCAGCATATTTGTTGCTGATACACACACAGACAGCCTGATGAATGTGCTCCTTCTCCATTCTGTCCATCCTCCTCTCGCCTCTCTTTGTGCATGTCCTTTCCCTTCATTCTGCTGTTTTTTCTCTCTGTCACTCCATCCTGTCCCCTTACAGGGGAATTATTACATAAATAAAAGGACATCTGAGTGCTACCTTTGCCAAAAGGCAATTAGCCTGTGATTATAAAACCAACTGAATATCAGGATATGTCTATCTTTCTCCTGTCTGTCTTTTGTTTTATCCTCTTTTTCCCTTCAATCCATTTTTTGACACTCTTCCTCACCAGCACACGTTTCTGACTACTTTTAAAATCAAGTGTCCCAGGAAAGTCCACATCACCTGCTGCGTTTGCTCTTGTCTTTCAGTATTTTTATTCTTTTGAGCTTTACACAACAAGCACACCCCTCTGTCCTTTGTTAGATGGATCAATTTGAAACATTTTCCCATTCATGCAAATGTGTGTGTGTTTGTATCTCTGGGCAGTGTGCTTTGGTTTGTAGTTTCAGAGAGGCACTGACATCGTGGGATGCTTTTCAGAGTGAAGTGCGCTGTATGTATGTGTGATAGTGGCAGGAGGACCCAGTGCTATAAAAAGACATCAAAACATCTGTTGAACAGCACTGAGGCAGGGGGCCATAAATATTCAGTTGGTGGTGGTGCCCTCGTCACCCTGTAACCTACTTATCATTTCAGAACAAAGCAGGTGGGCCCAGGAGCCGCTCTCCTCACACCCAGCGCCCCATCAGTGAACTGGCAACACAAGTAGTACTGAGGAGGAACGGTGACAAAGTGAGGAAACTATTGAAAGAAGTCAATAGACAGACAGGCGTTTTGTGTTTGAGCCACATCAGCCTCAGCTGTGAATTAACATGGCCCACAGTCCTCATGACTTGTGGGTTCAAGAACATTCAGAAAGCAAAGCCATACAACTCCCCCTGCTGCCCCCGACAGAACAAGATTCATTTGAGGTTAGGCAGTAAAAGATGACCCGTGATGAATGTACTGTACCACCACCATCTTCAGTGGGAAGGATTTCAGCATCAAGCACACACATCCATCTCCTCCCTCTGACTCTTAATCTGATTCTTTGTTTTTCCTCTTTTTTTATTTGGATGGTTTTTCTCTTTAGTCTGAATGTAATTATTTGAAAAATGTCACCTTGGACTAAAAAATTAATTGTTTGCTGCATCTGATTTTATTTCGAGGTAATAAAATATTGATATTGTTCTTTGCAACAAAATAAAAATTGTGTATGTGGATTTTTTCAAGCTATGACAAAGCTTTAAAAGAGTACACACTGTACACTATTTCAGTGGTTCCCAGCACAGGTCCTTGAGGAACACTATCCTGCATGTTTTAGTTATTTCTCTGCTTTGACACCTGATTTGAATGAATGGTGATTAATAGGCTTCTGCAGAACTTGAGGAAGTGAATCACTGAATCAAGTGTGTTGGAGCAGGGAAACAACTAAAACATGCAGGACAGTCCTGGGCTCACAAACAAATAAATGGACTGTACTTATATAGTGCTTTCTATCTTATCGAGATACTCAAAGCACTTTACACTACAATCTGTGCCTCATTTACCCATTCATACAGCACTCTACTAGATCTCTACAAAGCTAATTGAACAAATCATTCTAAAGAGACTAATCAGAGCTTTAGATCACATTCATACACGGATGGGACACACATCGGAGGCGATGAGGGGTTCAGTGTCTTGCCCATGGACACTTCGGCATGTGACTGCTGGTGGATTCGAACCTCCAACTCTTGCAATGCATGACGACTGCTCTAACCACTCAGCCACAGCTGCCCCTAAATACTG